GAAGCATCTGTATCAAAGCTTTATAAATGAACAAATACCAATGCCGTTCCCACCTCACAACCAAATGTGGCCAGCCAATCTTTCGGTAAAGTTGGCAGTGATGACTGCTGTAACAATCAACTGTTATGAAACTTAGGGCTGAGTGGTAGACACCATCCAATGATGGATATACAGATTCTACAATTCTTTATCTATACAAAGGAAAACAGTTCTTATTTCTGTACAGAAAGCCAAGTATTGCCTTCAGTTTGGCAGTCAGAATTTCAATATGGTGCTTAAAATTGAGACTGTCATCCAGCCAGATACCAAGGTATTTATACTGTTTGACTTTCTGTATGGGTGTGCCATATGCAGAAAGAATATTGAAAGATCCAGTATGAGTAGTCTTGGTGAACAGCATCCATTTGGTTTTGTCTGAGTTAAGTACTAACTTATGGTTATACAATTGAAGTTGGAACGAATCAAAAGACGATTTTAGACATTCAGTGGCTGATTGTGCAGATGTTGCGAAGCAATATAAAACTATGTCATCTGCTACAAATGAAATTTACAGGATACAGGGGGCCTGAGCCAGGTGGGACACCCTTAGTAATATTTAAAAAACTGGAATGAACATCACCCATCTTTACACATTGCAGTCTATTACAGAGATAGTTTTCAAACCACAGGCAGCTGACAGAATCCTAACCAACACAGCAAAGTTTCCTTAAAGGTTAGGTCAAAGGACCAAACAATTGACAATCAAGTTAGCTATGGTTAGCTAGCAACGAACTGACTTCTTCTGTTTACCCTGTGGAGCATGTGCCGACCACCTTGGCCAGTTTTGGTTCAATTGAGTGTAGGTGTATACATGCAGGAGTAATTCAACTCCCAATCACATTATCTGGATGTCTTAATCCAACTTTGAGGAAATTCTATTTAGTATAAATTGAGTTGGACTAAAATGTTTACATGTATTCTAAAAGTCTGGTTTTAGCTGGACTAACGCAATAAATCGATTTTCTCGAATGTCATGAAACATTCAGATGAGGTACCCTCCCTCATGGCAACTGCACTCCCTGATGAAAGTGACCCCTTCAACAGGACAGCACACCATGTCACACTGAAAACACTGCTCAAGAGTGGCCTAAGGAACGTGCCAAAGAGCTCAAGGTGTCAACCTGGCTTCTAAATTCCCTAGATGTGCTGGTACCCCAGCTTGCATCCCACAAGACTGAAAGGATCTGCAACCAATGCTCTGTTACCGGACACCACAGCACACCCCCTAGAGGTCCTGTGTCCATGCCTTGACAGGTCAGAACGAATGGGCCTTTTTCACTGTAACTTATAGCAGCGCTGGGTCAAGCCATGCCGCACCGATTTCCGTTTCCATTGTCAGTTTAGATGTGTTGTGAGATTCTCCTCACAAGACATTTTGCTATCCAGGGCTGGTGCAATGCCATATAGAACCAGGGAGGTTGCAGAGATGGTACTGTGCATACAGTAGGCCCAAAACCACACTAATATGGAGTGAGTACTTAAAACAAAGAGAGATAGGATCTTAGTTGATTATTTACCAGGGATTCCAAAATTTTAGACAGGCAACATAATTTGGAAATAGGGAGAAAGTTATTTATTTTGGTTTTGTCACCTCCTTTGTGTAAGGCTAGGACAAAGGCTGTTTTCCTGGCTGTGGAGTTCGTCAAGTTGAATATATGAGTAATGCATTCTGCAATTAGTGGCACTGAAAGTTTAAGATAGGAGGTGTCTAAATCATCAGCACCAGTTGATTTTGTATTATCAATAGGAAGAAGATCATTAGTAACTTCCTGAAGACTGAGATGTTACTCATCTTGTTCTGCTTCCTCCACCCAAGTCAACTACACCGTTCAGAGTGTGCTCCGGTCGCCCTGGGGAGGTAAATAAACCAGAGCCAGTACCGTGGGACACACAACAGCCCCAAAATCACACCCCCTGCCTGGCCCCGCAGCCGGCCCTCCAGTACCCGCCACACAAGGTAAAAAAAATACTCACGGATTTCCTGGGCGGTAGCCAAACTACCGACCCAGGCTGGAGTATTCTCGCCAAACGGGTACAGGCTGCTGCGCTTCAGGCCCCGGTGTCTTTGTCGTCTCGGCCGTGTGTTCCGTCGGGTCGACGTAGTCTTTTCCTGGCTCCGCGTGGTCGTTCTGCGCTGCTCTCTGCCCTCCGCTTCCTCTATCCTCCCTTTTCACCGTTCGGCGCGCCGCACCTGTTGCTCATTCGCTGATTGCTGCCTGCGGTTTGGTCAGTGTCGGTTGCTTTCAGGGACGATGGGAAAAGACAACACTGCATGCAAAAATATTCACTACACAATAAAAACAATCCCGTAAAACTTGATTAAAACTAGCACAACAACTTAAACACAATAAATAAATAAATAGACTAAAACATGCAGAAAAGTATTATTAAAACATGCATAAAAACCCCCATCAACACTGACCCTGTCACA